TCCTGCTGTGACTAATGGAATTGGATAGAAAATATTTTTTCCTGTTTCTCCCTTAAGGTTAGGGAACGTACTCCAAGGAATTTACTTCTGATAAAGCTGCAGTATTTCAAAATCAGAAGGAGTATTTTTGCTTCTCTCAGTATAAAACCTTGACATGGCTCCGTTTATAGTTGCAAATGGGGCTAAGAGAGGAAGCTCTGGAGACGTATAGCACTCCAGTCACCTAAGATGCTAACTGATCAGGTCAAGATAATACAGCGAGTCAGACAAGGGGAAAGTTAAAATTACCACGCTTCAATAAAAGGGAGAAAGTGAGTCACCTTAGACTCCATATACAATAGCAGCCATTTTAAGAGTGCACTGAAAGTAGTTGTTTGTTACATGGCCTTTTACTTTGCTCATTAAAAGATGACAACTTAACTATAAGACTTTTTATACCATTTTGTAATTTATATTTTTCTTAAGATACCTTTATGTTACGAGAAGCCATTTCATGATAAGTGCTTTTTTTCTCCTTCTTGTGGTTATTTGTGCTTTCTTATGAAATAATATAGAACAGATCCAAAATACCCGTATAAATTTCAAACAGGGGAGCTGGATAATAAAAACAATGAGCAAGTTATTTTCCCTGCTGGTTTTCTACCTTTTAAATCCAAATGGAGCAATGGGACTTGACAGCTTCGAGTTCAAACTTAATTCATCATTAGGAAATTATTCAAAAAGCTATAACTAGATAACTAATTTAATATACTTTGCTTCAAGGTTTACTCCTTGGCCTGTTTCCCAGATATAAAGCATCTCCTTAATTATCATGCAGATGCCACTGGAAAGACTTTAAATGACTATTGCTAATTTAACAAGAGAGATGCTGGCATTGGCAGAAGATATTAGAGGAAGACTTAAGCTGACTGAAGAATCAACTGATTCTTAAAAGGAACATGATCAAGATATTTTAGCTAAATATTTTCCTCTCTCCTAGCCACTCTGGTGGCATGGAGTGAAAGCCTCACTCTAATCAATATTCTTTTCTCACCGTTTTGCCTTCATCCTGCAAAGTCACCAAATGCCAGCTAGGAATGATGAAGATAACCTGTTTATGTAAAACATTCCATCCCAGATTGATAAAGGCATACAGGGACCAACTCTCATCTATGTTAGTGGGACCTAAGCTAAATACCTTTAAGGTTCTGAATTTGAGGGCAAAACAAATGTAATCAGAGTCAAAGAAGAAAAGCTTCAAGTTTGTTGCCAGAGAACTTAGGAGGCTACTTCTGGAAAAGCAGAAGTTACAGGTAACTATAACGAGGCTCAAGGTTCTAGGCTGCTCCTGTTTAATACACTGTAGGCTTCTGGACTAGCACGGATGTTTCCAGGGTAATATGTAAGGGGCATAACTCTAAAGTCACTTGGAGCCACTACATACACATCAGATTGAATTACTCCTGGAATAAGGTGAATGGAAGCTACATAGAGCAAATAAAACAGGCAAGAGCAGCAATGAAGTGTGCCATTTCAGGGGAGAAAACCTAACATTACAAACTGCCTGTGATTTATATATTGTAGAAGCTCACTGCCAAAAAAAGATATACAGCCAAGAGGATGTTTAGAATTAAAGGTCACTTTTTCTATCCAAATCTGGTGGAAAAATAGACCCACCCAAATGTAATGCCAAGGAGCTATACCAGATCTCAATGATCTTTCATGAATTTCATTGACAAAAAGTGTCATGTTTAGCATAAATTCAAGGGAAAAATTGAGATTGAAGATAGGTTGTAAACCTGAATTCTCCCAGGTCTTTGTTTTAAGCAAAGCCTGCTTGGGGCCTGATCTTGCACTATGGTCTGCACTTCAGGAACCCTTATACTCCTGAACCTTCACAGTATGAAATCAAAGCTAAATGTAGAGCTGATAAAAGCAAATGCTGTTCTCCATTTGGCTTATTTTGTCCCTTTATCAAATACTTTGACGACACAGAAGCTTTGGTTCTTTTGTTATTTGTTAAGTCCACATTAGCTATACAATTATTCCCCCCACCCAACAAATACAGCTACTACTTGCGGACAGATGTAGAGAGGCACAGTAGAGCCAAGATGGTTTATCTCAGAGTGGTTTGCAAGCCACTAAGTTCACAGTTAGTTGCCAAATTAAGGACAACCCACTAAACTGTAACAGCAGTACTTCTCCCATCTGCTGAAACACAGCAAAAGATGAGCTATAGTCCTGCCTGGCTGACTGAAGCAGCAGTGCCCTTTGAAGAAAAGCCACAGCAAACAGCCAGAGCCCCTCAGAAATCCTGCACAGCTGTTTGCTGTGGCTGCATATGCCCCTGGGTACTTTGTAACTTTGCAGTGGGTTAGTACCCTAACCTTACAGAGAATCTGGGTTCTACTGTATCCATTTCTCTTCTCCCATTAGGAGATGGAGAAAGTTAGACTTCATCTACCTTTTTTATTCAGATTATAAAGCCTTTAGGGCAGGGACAGCGTTCCCTTTTTGTGCTTGTACCATAGCTGGCACAGTGGGGCTCCTATCCCCACATTAAGGTCTGTAGGTGTTACTAGAATACAAATACTCACTACTAATGATACGGGCAAAGAGAATCGCAATACAAGTTGCAGTCCGAGTGGGCAAGTGGCCCGTGCAATTCATTATAGGAAAAAAAGATTGAAAGCTAAGAAAATTAGAGCTGCAGTGCCCACGTGGGTGATGCCTGATATGATCATAAACTGCAAGGTGCTGACGGAAAAATCTGAGGGCAGCAACATTCTGTAATTTAAAACCTCCAGGCTCATTATTTGGCAGTGATCAGGAAAGGAAACAAAATGGGGATATGGTTGAGAGAGAATTCATCACTTCAATACTATAAAAAAGTATTAGAAACAGACAACCTAAATGATGGTGGCAACGTGTACACAACGGGACGCCCAGACCCTAATGAGTTGCCTTGCTTGAGGAAGGTGAGCAGGATTTGACTGCACTGTATATGCCAACAATAAAAGCTTCAGTCATTAATGAGAACATATTTGTTGCCTTGAATATTCTTAGGGTGCAAGCTGGCTGAAGTGCTTCTCTACTGCTCAATCCAAAGCCCAGTAAGCTTAATGGAAAGACTCTTGTTGACTTCAGGGTGCTTTTTTTTTTTGCTTATGACCATTTGTCTACCATGGGACCACAGAATGGTGGATGCTAGAGGTCGTGCTGCTTCTTGTCAAGTACTGTATTGCAATATTAATTCTTTCCAAATTCATAAACTGTTGAGTGCCACAGAAGTCTACCTGATTACCCCACTTCTTGCTTTGCAGTTCTTCCAGTCACCTATTCAGGGATTCATGCTTTGATCTCTCTGTATTCTAGGATTTTATCTGTCATCAAGTCTGACTATTGCAGAGTTTTAATTGTCATTTATCAGGTTTTATTTGCATTGCAAAAGCCACATATCTGGCTCTTGCTGGGGGAAAAAACCTATTTCCTGAAGAACTGTTCATTTTATAAGCCATATAACAACACAAAGGCCAACAAACACCCTGAGAGAGGATAACCTACCCTATGGATATTTTACAATGCAGATCAGTCATATTAAATGTGGTTCAAAAAGTCATCATACAGTTTCACGAGTTATTAAGAAATTCACAAGTTATTTCAAGAAAAATAAATTACTGTGTATAAAATAACTCACAGGACTCTCTAGTCAAGAACAAGGACTCCTTGCTTTTGAGGCAACTTGAGCAAGTACACTATATGCATACACTGCTATAAGACATGCTGCTGAAGGAGTGCCCCTTTCTTGTCAAGAAGGTTCAGTCAGATCCACAACGCTGGAGGTTAAATGAGTCTGGAGTTCTGCAGGAACTGGATGAGCACTTGGTAGACAAACTTGTACTGAGCAATGGTCTGAATCATAAACATCCTCTGCTCCCTCAGTCGTCTCAGCATCACCGGAACATCCACTTTCTGTAAATTAAGGATGAAAAAAGGATACGAGGCGGTATGTTAATTACACCAAATACCACCACTAACCTCACACAACTGAGCAGAAGGAAAAGAACGCCTCATTTATACTGAAATCACACCGTTTGTTTTGGTATTGTTTCCATACTACAGCAAGAAATATGGGTGTTACATAGGAAAGGTTTCTCAGGAAAGAGCGACCTCCTGGATCCTGGAGATTTCTTCCTAGACATTTAATTAAAGTAAATGGCTTTTGTCAAGTCACCTGACATGTTACACATACATAAGGATATGGTGCCAAAAAGTGTAGTCCTTAAATAGTCTCAATTGAAATATCTTGGGTCAGCTTCTCTTTGCCATTCAACAGATCTGTATGCATTACAGCTATTGGCGCACTGCTTCAGTCAGCCCTTTTTCCAGGAGGGATGGCCATCACAAGAGACAAATCAAGAATCCTGAAAACATGAGCTTCTGGGCCAAAACTGAAACACTAGCAAATACATCTAGCGTGACAGAATTCTGCAACTTTTGTTCCCTCTCAAGTCACTGGGTTTCCTGCCAATGTCTGCAAGGCTCAGCAACCCAATGTTCAACAGATGTTCTGACCTTCCTTAACTGTCAGCACTAGGACATGAATCAGGGCTTGAAAAACACAAAGGGGTATGCAAGGTGAAGCATTAGCTAAGATATATATTAGGCAATGCCACTTTATTATCAGTATTTAGAGAGCAACAGGAGGACAGAAAGCAACTAGGGGGACTTGTTACAACAGGCAGGTGAGGAGTAATTCAGAAGTCGTTCTGTTACAGCGCTCAACTTGCCGAGGCCCAAACGTGGCATGCAAAGCATGACATGTCTCAGAACAAGGGAGGCAAAAGCAGTCAAGCAGCAAATGTAAAACATTGAAGGATTCACTGCTTTTGTGTAAATAACTCTTTTCATAACCTTAGTTGCATTTTTTTTTCCTGATGTATAAACACTCAATGAAGGGAAGAAGCACCATGCTTGTGTGAAATTCTCAGATAACCGGGGGGGGGGGAGGGAAGAGGAGGAAGAACACCACCATGAGCAATAACCCCAAGGGTGAGGGATATCAGAAAGGTCTGCAGTCAGGGTTTCCAGTAACCCTTTTTTTCAGGCTCTTTTAGAATACAGTTGTGTGTTGTCTCTTACATGCTGGAAGATGAATCAAAAGGAGAACCCATATCATAAGGTGGCATGAGCTAGAATCCAGCAACTTTGCTGGTTGAACTGATTGGAAAAACAGAATTATTCTGAGCATGTCTATACTGACTCCATACAACTCTTCAGACTGGGACTAAAAAGTAAGTCCCACTCATTCTCTTGTCCTACTTGCTCCAAACTCAGAACTACAGCAGTGAGGACAATGGGGATCTCACGATGAGCAGCAGAAAAGCGTGCCTACACATCCTCACTTGGAATGGTTCCAGTGGAAGGGTTGCACTTATTTTTCAGCAGCCTTAAGGGTGGTATGGAGCCTGGGTAGATATACTTAAGAGTGTCTTTAGCCACTAGTTCTGGTTCTGCCTTTAGTGACTCAAAGGATGCAGTCTTAGGGCACTCGAGTAGTTTCCATGCATTATGGCAGTGATTCTCAACCAGGTGCTGTGGCACTGTGGGGTGCTTTTGAGATCCTTTCAAGGGTACCTCAACATGCTTCACAGTGTTACCACTGAGATGTGCAAACATGATCCACAAGATAAACCCAGAGATTTCAAATAGAAATCGGTAGTGTTAAAATCAGTCTGACATGCTGTGGTCTTTCTGTATTCTCTAGAACAGAAGAACTGCCCTATAATTTTTCTGTAGGCAAAACACACAGAAGAACTAATTGCTGGCATTTCCCAAGTGGTGCCTCAAGTCTACTGAAGGGTGCCTTGAGTCTGAAAAGGTTGAGAACCACTGTGTTACGGGAACTGGTTCTAGAAAGTAAACATTGAAAAATTCGAAAGTCACGTCACATACATTTCTGTGCACTTTTGTAAAATGATCAAGGTTCTTAATGTTAAAGTAAACACAATTATGATCCTAATTTTTTTTAATGTAGCTAATTTTATGCCTTCTTACAAATAAGCCATTATGGAAGCAAGACTACAACATGACAAAAATTCTGCTACAGAAGCAGCAGTTGATAATAGCAGGAGAGGACAGAAATGAAGAAAAGAGTTTAAACCATTTTTAAACCAGAGCAGATGAGAGCTTAAGCGTTTTTATTTGGTTTTATGCAGCCAAATCAAAGAATGCCTCAGCAAGGAGTTTGATGGTTAGCAAAGCAATTAAAGCATGCCAACCCAATCATTCAAAACTGGATCTTGCCTGACAAATAATGACAACAAAAATGCAGGCCAGTTTGGACCTGCATAACCAAGTTTTAATTACTATAGTTCAACATTTGATGGAATTTGTTGATTTCTACAAGGCTAGTAAGATCTGGTGACTCTGTCACTGTGTCATGGCTCAGGTTTTGATTAATCTGAGAGCTATTTGTATGGATGTGCATTAGTGTGTACTGGAAGACTAAACCTATTATGGACACCTAATGTATGAACATCTTAACTTATTAGTATTTAATCTTATAAGGAGGTACAACAGACCTCCCTAATGATCTCAGACTCCTGACTACCCACTTTATTCTATAAAAGGGGAATTCTTTCTATTCAAAATCAACTGCAATGTGTCTGTCAACAAGAGATTACTGGTTTTGTTAACCCCAAAAGCAGAAATCTAAAGGACTACTTTTGTTTCAAGCTGTAGCAGGACTTCTACCAAGATGTTTAACTGCTCTATGCATCAGTTTCCTCATTTGTGAAATGGGGATACAATGGCTCACCTGCCTACAAAGCATGTTATGAGGTACTGCTCATCTCATAAGACTGTAAAACACTATCAGAAGTTGCATTATGGAGGACTGAGTTACCAGCAGTTTCATTTCAGACTAAACAGAAATATGCTGGCTTCAAGAACAAATACAGAAGTCAGGTCATGTACAACAAATATTTTGTACATGAAAAAAAAGATGTTCTAGGTGTGATAATCACTACAAACTATCCATCCTGATTCACCTGGAAACATATAGCTCAGCTGATCACAAAAACATAGGATAGAGAGTTGAAATATTCATCTGCTGTAAAACAATGAATGGCTCTGTAGGGCTATCACCCTAAAAGGAGAAAACTGGGCTTAAAAATATTATGAATTCTGGTAACACGTAAAAAGGAGAGTTTAGTTAGGGATACAACAAGGGGGTCTCTCACTTTCATGAGCGCTACACATCAACTCCCAGTGACTTTGCTGAACTTTCCTTGATGAACATCCCTGATTTTTATGCTTTCCTTGATGTTCAGAAGTTCAGCATCATGCCAAACCATTCTTCACAGAAGAGGTGAAGCCAGAGGCATTCACAAGGTCACCAGAGGAGCTGCCAAGTTGTTATTTAATCTCTCTCTCTCTCTCTCTCTCTCTCTCTCTCTATATATATATATATAGATGTCTACAGTTCCGCTGGTGTGTGGAAGATGCTAGTGACGTGAAGTGCCTTTTGACCCCAATGGCTGCACATTTTCTTTCAGAAGCATTTCCACCCCATGCCTAGCCCAAGAGCAATGAATCAAAGCTCTACTAGGCTCTCCCCCCTACATGAGAGTGTGGAGAAAATAGATTGAGGGGTCGGATGAAATGAACATAAATAAATTAAAAAGGAACACTTCTAATTTGTGCTAAATTTACTGAGCCAAATTCATTGGTAGGCAAAGTCCATCAGAAGTCAAAAGAATTACATGCAGGGCGATTTAAGCCCTGTCTCTCTAAATGATCACCGTATAACCATAGTGTGGTTATTCTGCAATGCCACATAGACACCAATTCATTTCGCTTGCTAGCCAACAGCCATGAGCATTTTGAAAGAAATGGGAGAGTGGAGACAGAGGCAGGCACATTACCAGATAAAAAGGAAAGGAAAGTCAGCTGGTAATCATCCCTCCATGCTAACAAGCTCAAATTCTTGAGTGACAAGCAGTGTTTTAACTTTGTGCACGAACAAGGTTGCCTAACTGGTGGGCTGCATTTGGCCCACAAAGGGTTAAAACCTGTGTTGCCATGCCTCCTTGCCCCCAAAAGCGCCCACTTAGAAGCTGGAGCCTTTCCACGACTAAAGACTCTAAAGATAATACACAAAATAATTTCCACTCCTTCACATAACTGTTGCAGATTCTCTCTCCATTCCAGCAAACAGGCCAAATACACATTTGCTGTGGGGCACAGGTGACACCAAAATGGTATATCTATTTGCAGTCCCTGCAGCATACTTTTGTCGTCATCATTTCTACCAAGAGATTTTAGTCTTCCAGTAATTCCTTTGATGTGGGAAATCCCTAGGTTTCAATAGCTGTTTTTCTCAGCTTGGCATTGTGCACTATATAGGCTGCGTCCCCATGAGCTGGAACGTGCAGTTTGTGGCACCTCAAAGTGTTTTAAGGCACCGCAAAATGCATGTGGCGCTTGCGATTCTGTTCGTCATGCTGCATATTTGCAGCATAGCAGCAAAATTAGATACTGGAAAACCCCGCTATCTAAAAAACCCACAGCAGAAAAAAAGCAGGGGGGCACACATGGCAGCAGTATGCGTTGCCCAAAACTGGAGCCTGGCTGGCCAGAGCCAGACTGTGGCTGCTGGGGAGGCTCTGCATGCCTGGCTCACCACTGCTGCAGCCCCAGGAGGCCTCCAGGACCCCAGGTAAGGTTGCTGGGGTCAGCCCAGGTGCTGGGCCCAGCCTCCCATACCCCACCTGGGGCAATCTGCCACACACCACGCACGCGTGTAGGGGCGTGCCCAGGGACAACTAGCAGCAGCACATATATGTGCTACTGCTATTTGACCCCGACGAAACAAATTTCCCGCTTGTGGGGATGCGCCCATATTGTTCTTCAGAAACTGGTGTTTTTGCTGGATCTTTCCCCACTGACATAGGATATAGCAGAAAAAGTAGTTACATCTGAAACTCTGATAACCCTTTGACATAGCTCAGCTTATCTGACAGATCTCATAATACTGGCTAGGGCCATCAATTTTTCTTTGGATATTTTTCCTTTGTGACCCTTCCGCTCCCCTGGTGTCTTTTTTTTTTTTCCAATTGCAGCTGAGCTTTATTTCAAATTAGACCCCAGAGACAGCAGCTCTCAGAGACACCCAAGAAAGAAGCTAGAAATCAATGGAATCAGTTTAAACCCATTTGGAAAACAGTATTGCTTCTCTACCATCTCTGAGGCTGCTCTTCTGCACAGCTCTATCTCCAGACTGATTAATTAAGACATGGGTACAGACATGTTATAATTTGATTCTGCAAACTTCACTTCTGCAGATGTGTCCTATTGTTCATAGGGCTATGCCAAAATAAATATATTAATAAAATAAATAACAGCTAAGACATACGACATAAACCACAAATGGGGGGGAAACAGCTGTGTCCTATGTCTTGCTATACTACTGCAGTGGGAAGACTAGGGATATCTTCCCCTTCTCTCAACTTCAGCCACAGGTGTAGTACAGAATGAGCCACTGGAAAATAAATGTTTACAGAGAGGAAGAGTGTACTTACTTCATTATGTTCCAAGCAGCCAATCATCAGCTCTGTTAGGATAACTACCCCTGTCCTCCCCACACCTGCACTGCAGTGAACCACAATTGGTGGATTACAATTGTTGCTGCTGTCCAACACACTGTTGGTATGGCGACGAACTGACTGTATCTCCTCCAAATAGGCTGTAAGATAAAATGCAAATTATGCTGTAAAAACCTACAAGGCTTCCTATACAAGTTGAAACATTTATGGGGAAGTCAGTTTTCTTTTAAGTGATGATAATTTACAGTGCCTACAAGACACTAATTATTTGGCCACCGTGCAATGAGCAGCACTGAATCCAGCAAGTACCAGCTGGGCGTCAATTACTACTTGGGAGTTTGGTTCTTTAAATTAAATAGTCTTTTAAAAAAAATTAAATTCTCTTTTCCCCCTCCGTAAATCTCCAGGTCCCCAAAGCAGATGATTCTAGATGTTACTTACAGCAATTCCTGCTATTAACAGGCTGGGATCAAAACAACAGCTAAGTCCCCTTGAAACAACTGCTTGTCAGAGCCAGTATCAGATGGGAAGTGAGCATCCATCTGCCTTTTTCTTGCTTCTCTTGTTGAATGATTGAGAACATCAACCAGATCTATGTGTTTTATTTGGCTTTCAACAAGCATGGGGACTTTTTTTTTTTTGCACACATTCATATGTAGCTTTCTGTAATCATTGCCAAAATGTAGGGATCAAAAATAGTCATCTTGTCTAGCTCTAGCATGCTCAAATATTTTCCCATTAAATTATACCTTTATATACACATATTTATATGTAAAGCATACATAGATTAATGCGTAGCATACCTATAGACTCAGATGGCTGGCTAAATACACAAGAACTACAGAAGAGGCAAGCAATTATTTCAGGTGGAGGGCTGCTTACTGAGTCAAATTTGGCAAGCCATAGAGGGCCACATGACAGGCAGCCAGGGGCAGATAAATACTAATTTTCTAAATTTTTTAGGCCTGGCGGGCTGTATGTGGCCCGCGGGCTGCATTTTGTCCACCCCTGAACTAGTCAGGTTCTTCGTTGAGCCTCTCTCCAGGTTGTTCCAGCAGGAGCTGGATGAACCACACAAACAAAGCCCCTGGGACTGATTTGCCACTACACTGTGCAAACTTGGTGTAAAACTATTGCAATCAGGAAGTTAGCATTTTATGACTACTTTGCACACATGGAAACAAGTTCATTCCATACAAGGCCGTGGTGCATTGTGCCCACTCTTCAGGGAAAAGGGGACAACTATGTTCTGACTACAAATATTTCAAGAGCTGTGGTGGGGTGTTAAAGGGTGAAGTTACACGTTACACTTAGACCACACAAATCTGTGGAATGTTAAGCAGTGTTAAGGTTAGAACATGTTGTTTAATGGTTAATACTATTTCTTCCCTGCACAGTTCTGACTTGCCATTAGAGGGCTGGTAAGCAGGAGGATGGCTAGGAGCCAGGACACCTGAGATTCATCCCTGATTTGGAGGAGAGGGGGACCTGGGAGCAGTGCATCTTGGGATGCTAGAGGACTGCAAATGCTCATTTTATTACTGGGAGCAGACTAAAGTTACTCTAAAATGAGCTGGGTAGCATGAACCCAGAACCAACCCTCTCTTGAAGTGGTTTAATTCGGAGATGCTCAGAGGGCACTTAGCACGAGTTAACAAGCTTGGGTGGCATGCTTGGGTTTTAAGTGCCCTTAGTATGGTCTAAGTGTAATGTGTAACTTCACAAGAGGCACAGCATTAAAAACCCCCACAAAACTAGATAAGCAATTAGAAGCTTTTAGCAGTAGAGAAGGGTGTTGGGAGTTCAGGGCATATATGGAATGAAAACGTGATTAATAATTTGTAGGATACCTTGGTACAGATGACAATTCTGCTTGAGTAGTAATGCAATTAATTAAAAGCAGTGTGCAGTACTCAGCATGATTAAAGTAACATAACGTAGTATAATACATAAATAACACACATTACTTACTGGGGCACTGCATTGTAATTACTAATAAAGTAGTAAGGGACAGTATTAGATTAATATGAGTAAATACTGTGGCTGCATTTTCACCAAAATGAGAGAATTCCACCTCTCCCCATACCTCCCCCGTTACACCGATATAACACACCAAGCAGAGGAGGTACTGTGATTACTGCTCCTGACTAACAACTGGGCATATTCGATCATCTTCACTGCCCTATCTCGCCAGCTCTTGTGCTGACCTTTCTCTTATCCTGTTATGTCTGGTGTTGCAGGTTGTCAGCTCTGGAGCAGGGACTGTCATTTTCTATCTCTTTCTGTAATGCCTGCTGCAATGGGAGCCAACCTGGTTGAGATCTCCAGCTGCTACCATAAGTATGCATGTTAAACAACAACAGTAGTTCTGGGGTACCACAGGTTTATAATCCAGAGGAAATAAGATTATTTCTGAAAGATTTTAATTGACTGAAAAATGTGCACATTAAAGTAGGGAATCTTACATAAAAAGCCTTGGACTTCTTCTGGACAACCGTGATCTGGCCAGTCAGTATACTGCAGGTGCCATACTGTCCTCTCTTGTCCAGAAAGAAGATGCTTGACTTTTAGACCTGTAGTAGCATAGCAACCAGAATCTGTGCGGAACTTATTTGTCACCTTGAACTTCCCATAAGTGGCTGAGCTGTGCTTAGAGCCCAGTTTAGGCCAGTAACGATGACTCTTACTTCTTCCTCCCTCCTGAACCACAAATGGAAAAAAAAAAAAACCACAAAAAAACAAAATTACTCTTCTATTGTTACAATTACAAAATTCTCAAGAACTGAGTCCATAAGGCTACTTGTGCAGGTAAACCAAGTTCTACTTATCCTTGTTCACAACACAAAAACAAGGAGCATCCCATGAAAGTGAATGAAATTAAATTTAAAAAGTCAACTTTTTATAAAAGTGTACATTTACACTATGGAACTCAGATTATCATTGAGTCCAAGAGTGAAGAAGAACTAGGGATTAAACATTTATAAAAATTAAACTAGATAAACTAACGTGAAGCATGTATACACAGACCTCTGGCATAAGCCAACCACTGACTGCAATATATTAGAAGGAATTTCCCCCTAGTGACAGGTTATTCTATAACTGTCTATTAAGAGGATTCTTCTCCAAATATCTGGTAATGGTCAGCATCAGACACAGAACTAGTGAAATCCTGGTCCGATGTGATATGACAATCCTTATGTTCCTATACGGCAGCAGGCCACAAAGCTGAATGCAGTGTTTGTTAGCAACCTGTGCCAGTTCTTGTAACATAGCACATACTTCTTGGATTACAATAGAAATAACTGTTTTGCTTGGCAAACAAATAAAAAGATTTTTTAATGAACATTTCTACAGGAACAGCAGCTTCTGGTCTCTTTTCTGCCGATAAGAATGATGGTATGCAGAGTTGGCCTTGGATGCATAGAAAATGTGTCATTTTAACCAAGAGCAGTTCGGGTTGTCAAATTCCAGTGGAAATCTCTCTGTTTTGTTTGGCAAATCAAAGTATTATTCCAACAAAACTGAAGCCTTACTGTTTTTTTCTTTAAAAAAAAAATACTTTAATACATGC